CAGGGAACTTTTCCACACCTTGTAGTCCACACAATACAGCAAGTCCCAGCGTTTGGTTTTTTTTTTGCCTGTGGAGTCTGTAACTGTCAATCGAGTCTTTCAAAGCTTCCCACCGTGGCCCCCTCGGTGCTGAGCCGTTGTGTTGTGCTCCCTCCTGGCACCTCTTCCCGACGACGTCTGTACCTGCTCCTGGTGCTAATTTATTAGCCAAGGCTGCCCTGTGTGCCCCAGCAACCTCTTGCATTAGTGAAGTAATTTCTGTGTTGCTGAGCTGGAGAGTTTCCTCTTCATTGCTTCTGTTTATGCCATTGTTGCTACTGTTTGAGGAAAATGTGCTGACTCTCTGAATTTTAACAGCTCGTTGCAGTGGGAGCTGTAACTTAAAATGCAGCTAAATTTAAAACTCTATTAAAATTCCCCACCACGTTGCTCCTATTTTTAGCTTTACAAAGCTCTGAAAACTTGCAGATTTTTTAGTGGCCTATATAGTGCCAGGTTATTTGTTGACAGGGCATGAGCTGCCTTTCTGCAGCCTTCCAGGAGGAGAAGGATTTGGGATCCTTCATCTTCCCTTGGGTTCTGAGCCTCTGTGGTGTGCTGGAGAATATTTGGAGCAACAAGGTGGGGAACCTTGATGCCTCTGCTGCCCCTGAGCTGTGGAGGGCTGAGGATCTTCCTTCCTTACAAAGGAATTTAGGTGCTTCTACCTCCATAAAACGCAACTCTCAGCGTGGTTTTGTTTGTGCAGCTCCTAAAACTTGCTTTAAAAAAAAGAAATAAAGGGGTAATTCTAAAGCTGATTCTCCTTGGTAACCTGTTTTCTCTCTGATGTGGAGGGGAAGGGCTGGGCTGTTGGTTTAGCTCTGGTTTCTTGGCAGGGAGATGGAGACTGCAATGCTGAACTTACGGAGTCTCTACGACCAGCTCGTGCACCAGGCTGAGCTGCTGAGTGAAGGCAACGAATCCCGTAAGTCCTGGCTCTCCAGGGGCTGTTTTCATTGCTGCCAAACCATAAAACATGTATAAAAAGTTATTATCTGACACTGAAGAATCTGTCAGAGACCTCCTGGGTGCGGGCTGGCAGACTTGAGGGTTTTTTCCTGGCTGAGAAATGCCAAATCACAGGCTCAGCTTCTAGGCAGGGCCACGTTCTGCTGGCCGTCCACACAGGGTCTCCCATTCCATCTCCTCTGGGGAATATTGGTGTGAAAGATGGTCTAAAAAATGTCAGGATCTCATGAACATCTTTGTGGGTTGGTTTAGTGGAAGGCTGGCTGCTCTGCTCTTCAGCTGAGGGCAGGAAGTATTAATACCTATCTCCTGTTGAGGAAAGGAGGGTGGCTGCTGCTTCTCCAGCTTACTGCCTAGCTAAAAGTGTCCACCTCCTCTCTTCCAGAGTTCATTCAGTTAGCCAAGAGCTTCGAAGAGCACAGGAGGAGGTGGCAGAGGACGGAGCAGGAGCTGGGCAGGTACAAGGATCTGCTCATGAGGGCCGAGGCCGAGCGCAGCGCGCTGGACGTGAAGCTGAAACACGCCCGCAACCAGGTGGACGTGGAGATCCAACGGCGGCAGAAAGCTGAGACAGACTGTGAGAAGCTGGTGAGTGATCCCTTTGTTAGCTCCCCAGAGTGAGGGAAAACAAGGGCTGGGGCTCACAAGAGCTTTTTTTTCCCTCTGAGGAAAGGAAAATCCAACAACAAATTGACTCGGCTCCTTGTAGTCGCCTTGTGCTGCGCTCTGGGAAAAAGGCGACTGGTTGGTGCTGTTACCTGCCCGAGCACAGCTGTTATCAGTCTATGCAGACAGGCTCTCAGGATGTCTCAGGCTCTTGATGAGGTTCATGCAGTAATTAAGCAGGTTCTGATCTGCTCTGCCTTTGCAGGAGAGGCAAATCCAGCTGATCCGAGAGCTGCTCATGTGCGACGCGTCCGGGAGCATCCAGCTGAGCGAGGAGCAGAAGTCTGCCCTCGCCTTCCTCAACAGGCCCCAGGCTTCTCTGGGGGGTCCAGCCAACAAAAGGTGGGAGAAACAACGTTTTGTCTGAGCAACGGGCATGCCAAATAACCCTCTGTGCCTCTGTGACACATGCTGCACCCACATCAACATGGTTTTGCTGCTTGTTCCAGTTTGAAATGCTGCTTTTCTGAGGCAGGCAGGTTGTTCTGTAACCGTGGCTGACTGAAAGCCAAACTGATACAAGCTGCTTCTAATTTTTGATTTATTTTTTTTAGGTTGTCTACAATAGATGAATCTGGCTCAATTCTGTCAGACATCAGCTTTGACAAGACTGATGAGTCACTGGTAATGTAACTTCCAAGTTCTAAAGTTTTCCTCCACTCTAAGACCTTAAGGACGTGGGTTGATCTCTAGTGTTTAGAAGGCTGTGATGCTAAACTGGAAGAGCTGATTTGCATTTCTCTGGTGTGTTATTGTTTAAAACTCACCTGCCTGGAGGCTGGGAGGTATTTCCACTGAGCTAACCAGTGCTGTTTCCCCCCAGGACTGGGATTCCTCTGTGGTGAAAGCTGTCAGGCTGAAGAGGAGAGAGAAGCGGGTATGTTCAACCCTTCCCCTGCAGACAGATCCCATTGTTAGCTTTAGCTGCCACCCTGTCACCATCTGTCACCTTGCAGCCACTTGTAACTATCTCTAAATACTAATCCCAACCTGTGCTGCTACTGGAATCCACACCTGCTGTGTGGATCTTGGTAGAGAGTTGATTCTGATGCTGTTGTTTGGCTGCTGAAAATGACTGAGTGGGGTTCTGAGTGTCTTCGTTCTGTTAGGGCCCTGAGTTTGCAAGGAAGCACTTAGAGATGATTACCAGCTCCCACATCAGGGGAAAATCCTGTAGGAAGTGGATATTTTCCTATTTTGTAAAGGAGCTTGTGCTTGTTCTGCCCTGCTGCTGGTGAGCAGTAGGGACAGGTGGGAAAGGACAGCCTGAAATCCTCACTAGCAGACAAGAAGGAATCTGGGGCTTGCTCAGTTGCCCTTCTGGGTTTTGATGGTGTAGTCTTGGGTTTTTCCTCTCCTCCTTTCTGTCTCTTTTCTAAACTGGGTTCTAAAGCTGGCTGGGAAAATGACTTGTCAGTGCAGTGTGTTGAGGCCACAATGTCTCTGCAGCGCTCTTCCAGGCAGTTCATCGAGGGCCCACCCTGTCCCCAGAAGAAAACCCGCTCCATTGGCTCCACAGTGGACCAGGTACAGTGGTTTCTAGGGCTTCACAAGAAAAGCCTCCACCCTGTCTGTGCTGCTGGCACTAACTGCCTGTTTCTCACTGCAGGGGAACGAATCCATAGTGGCAAAGACAACCCTCATGGTCCCCAACGATGGTGGCCCAATTGAAGCCATTTCCACTATCCAGACTGTGCCCTGTGGTCTGAGAAGCCGGAGGAAGAGTGGTGGGTGTCATGTCTTGGTTTGGTCCTCATCCTGAAACATTGCTTACCACCTTCCAGGACCTAGACAGCCTCTTTCCCACGATGCATTTGCTTTTAGAGCAAAGGTTGTGGGGGCTGGAGGGTGATTCCATCAGTCAACACTCCTCCTCTTCTGCCTTCCAGGTCCTCTGCAGCCGTGGAGCAGCGAGTCCAGCCTTGGCAGCAAGCAGCCAGACTCCAAATCAGAGACTGAGAGCTGTGGCACCCCCCAGAGCAACGGGGGGGTGAGGCTGCACGACTTTGTCTCCAAGACGGTAGGTCCACGGGCAGGAAGAACTTGAAAAAAACCATCTTCTTCTATTTTTAAGTGTGTGTGATGTCAAGTTATTAGTAAGAGGCTGCCAGCCAGCAAGGCTCAAGTCAGTGGGAGCTGTAGCAGTCGCCTGCGTGGCTTGGGAAGCTCTTCTGTGTGGCTCCCTGGTTTCAGCCCTGCTGAGTGGCTACACTGCACTAACCTCTCCCCTCTGTATGCTCTGATCCATTAGGTTATCAAGCCAGAGTCGTGTGTGCCTTGTGGGAAGAGGGTGAAATTTGGGAAGATCTCCCTGAAGTGCCGGGACTGCCGCGTGGTCGCCCACCCCGAGTGCCGGGACCGCTGCCCCCTGCCCTGCATCCCCACCCTGACAGGCACCCCAGTCAGAAATGGGGAGGTGAGGCTGTGGGGGGAGCTCCTGCTGGGGCCTGAGCCCCCCCAAAACGGGCTCAGGCTTGGATCTGGTTAGAATGTGCTTTGCTCTGACAAATCTGCCTTCCCCAGAAGAGCTCCTGTCGCTCAGAGCTGGGGAGTAAGGTGTAAATGAGCTTGCCAGTGTGTCCTTCATTAACCAGGGTGGTGGGGATGTGGAGGTGGGAGGGTGTTGAGTTGGGAACGTGGCAGCTTGTAGACAATCCTGTGGCCTCCTGCTGATGGATGTGGTGTTGCTCTTCTGAGGAAGAAGAAATATTTGTTTTTAGGCCTTGATCTCGCTACCAATTACTGAGAGAGTGTTTTCCATGTCTTAAAGACTGATTATCTTTTTATTGTTCTTTTCCCTTCTGCCTCTTAGGGGACCCTGATGGACTTTGTCCCTTCTACTCCTCCAATGATCCCTTCCATCATAGTGCACTGTGTTAACGAGATCGAGCAGCGAGGGCTGCACGAGGTAAAACCACAGCGGGGTGTGCTGCTGGGGAAATCACCCAAATCTCTTCCTTCTGGGGTGTGTGTAGTGCTGCTCAGTGGGTGACTGAGGTGTGGAGAGAAAGCTGGGAGTGGCAGAACATCAGCTCAGTGCGTGGGGTTGATGTTCTACCCCTGTGTTAACAGATGGGCCTCTACCGGGTGTCTGGCTGCGACAAGACTGTGAGGGAGCTGAAAGAGAAGTTTCTCAGAGGAAAAAACATCCCTTTGCTCAGCAAGGTGGATGATATCCACGCTGTCTGTGGCCTTCTCAAGGACTTCCTGCGCAGCCTGAAGGAGCCTCTCCTCACCTTCCGCTTAAACAAGACCTTCATGGAAGCTGCAGGTGAGAAGCTGCCCAAGGACCTCTCCAGCTGTCTCCCTGGGCCTGGTGGTCACGGGTTGAGCTGTGACCTGCCAGAGCTCAGTGCTCTGTGGAGCCCTCGTGTTCGTGGCTGTGTTGATGAGGGGTCTGTCTTCTCCTGGACTCTTTGTTTTCTCTTCCAAAAAGTTCTGGAGCTTGAGCAGGGTACAAAGTGATTACAGTAGCACGTGAAGTTTCTGGCTTGTTTCCCAGGCTCCTGTTTCTGTGAGGGAACCATGACACCTGTGCCTTTTGGGACCAACTTCTGATGTTCATCTTCACTATGTTAACATCTAAACCTCTTTGTTTTCCCCCCCAGAAATCTCAGATGAGGACAACAGTGTTGCTGCTTTGTATCAAGCCATTGGTGAACTTCCTCAGGCCAACAAGGACACCCTGGCTTTCCTCATGATCCACCTGCAGAGGTATGGTCAGGTGGCCTCCTCGTTCTGAAAGGGAGGTGTTGCCACTGGTGCTTTCTCTAACTGGCTTTTGTTGGTGCTTGTGAGCATAAAGTCTTTGTTCCTAAAAAAAACCCCTCCTTCTTCAGAGGGTTGGGGGAGTTGTGTGAGAAGTGAAGGGGAGAAGCTACATTCTTTCTTCAACTCTTTTTATATATAGGGTGGCTCAAAGCCCAGAGACTAAAATGGATGTTACCAACTTGGCCAAAGTCTTTGGCCCCACGATAGTTGCCCATGCAGTGCCTGACCCTGACCCCATGACCCTCCTGCAGGACACGAAGCGACAGCCCAAGGTGGGTCAGGGGGGCAGGATGGACCTGGGGGGATCTATCCCTGCTGGAGGGAGCAGAGAGGGGCTGCCTGCAGTGAAACTGTCACTTCAGCTACTCACGGGTGTCTCTGCAGGTTGTGGAGAGACTTCTGCTGCTCCCCATGGACTACTGGAGCCAGCTGATGATGGTGGAGCAGGAAAACATCGACCCAGCACACGTCATTGAGAACACCAATGCCTTCTCCACTCCACAGACCCCTGATGTTAAAGGTAACCCAGAGTTCTGCTCCCTTATGTAGTCAGAATGATGACCCTCAATCCAAGCTGCTGGTGAGGCTGTTGGATTGACCATTCCCTTGTCTTTTATGGAGAAAGAGAGGAGAGAAGCGTGCCAGGAGACACCAGATTTGTCTAGTCATTTTGACAGATGCTTGGGAATGTCTAGTGTGCCTTGCATGGAATGAAAACTTCAGCTGTCCTCCTGTTGCTCACTTTGCTGCCTCTTTTTTTCCTGGCAGTGAGCATGCTTGGACCCCTCACCACTCCAGAGCAGCAGCTCTCCAAGACCCCCTCATCCAACTCCCTGTCCCAGAGGGTCAGGTCCACCTTCAGCAAAACCACCCCCAAGTGAGTGCCAGCAGGTGTTACCACAGATGATGGGGTGGTGTGGGTGGTTTGGGAACTAAAAATAGACTTTTGGTGCCAGTTCTGGGAGCAGCCTGGATTTACCACTCCCTAAAGTGCTGTGGTGAGAGTGGAAGCTGCACAGTGGTTAACGAGCATCTTATGGCAGGGAGAGGGGGATGCTTTGTCTGGGAGGGGGTTAAAATTTGGGTGAGTGACCCCCTGGGGAAGGGAGGGCATCAAATCTTTGTACCTTCAATTCCAAACTGATATTTTATTGCTTTTCTTGAACTAGATTTGGGAGCAAAAGCAAGTCAACGACCCAGCTTGGGCATCAGGGCAACTTCTTTGCCTCTCCTCTGCTGAAGTGAAGTGGACCTGGGAGTTAGTGTTGTAGTGTTTGCACACCAATATGCATGAGTACCAATAATGCAAGTCCTTGGCAGCTTCTGGAATAAGTTTTTTATCCTTTTATCTTTCAGCTTAACTAAGATTTTTAATGGGATTTTATTGTGCAATGTATTTTAATTATCTAATGCTGTCTTGAGTTTAATATTGAAGTAACTAACTAGCAGGACTTGCTCAAAGTGTTAAGAATTAAAAGAAAAACATGCTAGAGGAACTTATACTTTCAGTAGCATCTGATTTACCCCTGTGAAGTGGAGCAGTCACAGAAGGATCAGAAGCTTGTTTGGTTTTAAATATCTGTAGGTTGTTTTTCACACAGCAGCAACACCCTGGTTGTCAGAATCCAGTCTGTCCTTCCAGCCTTGTGCTGTGGTCATGCAGCCTGGAGTCCTGAGGATGGCACTGTTGGATTTCTCTGCTGGGGAAAGCTGCTCCAGTTACACTTCTGGGACTTCTGAAGCAACATTTCTTGGTACTGGGCTTGCAAAGGGAGGGGTTTGTAGAGGACTGCCTGTAGCTGTGAACCCAAATGGATTCCTGGCTGCTCCAAATGACTTGCTGCTCATGCTGGTGAAGGGAAGAAGGGTGATTTCATAGCAGCCTTGGTTTGGGGAGTCCCAGCTTTCCCAAGCTCTGGGCTGTGGCCCTTGCTCAGTGCTGTGTGAAAAGACTCGTGGAACACATATGGAAGTTCATCAAATGATTGTTTGTTGAGCTCTGGAAAACTGTCCTGACCTGTGCAGTGAAGTAAACCCTGCTGTTCTCTGCTTCTCTGCCTGGTGCTTCCCCCTGTGCTGTGGAGTCTGAGGCAGGGCTGGCTGGGGGTGTGGGAGGCTGTGCCTCTGAGGTGCCCTGGGGACTAAAACCTGGCAGGCTTGGCTGCTGGGGTGCAGGGTCACACACTGGGCTGTGGGTCTGGAGGAAGGAGGCAACAGGTTTGGTTAGCAGTGTTCTGGGAGGTGAAATGGCCTGGGCTGAACCTGGTGGCCTGGGTTGTCCATCTTCCCCTGGGGTCTGGGGGGTGAAGTCTTCTGCTGTCTTTGCACCCCAACCTTGACCAGCAGCTGGGGGCCCCAGGGTCTGTGTCAGATTCTGGCTCTGCCTGGACATCAGGAAACATCAAGCAACTTTTTCCTCTCCTAAATGAGGAGGACCAAGCACTGCACAGGTTGCCCAGAGAGCTTGTGGAGTCTCAATCCTTGGAGATATTCAACCCATCCTGATGTGGTCATGGGGCAACCTGCTGTAGGTGATCTCCAGAGATCTCCAGAGGTCCCTTCCAACCTGAACCGTGCTGTGGGTCTGGATGAGGGGCTGTGCTGAGCCTGGGCTGTGCCTCTTCCACACAGCAGCAGATCCACCTTACTGACTGATCTTTAAACAGCAAAAGCCCTTCTGGGCAGGGTCTGGTTCAACAGTTTGTCTCAGAAGAAACAAAACTGAAAGAGAAGAAGCTTAACCCAGGAGAGAAATATCCTGGTGTCCTCAACCTGCTGCTGCTGCACAAAATGGGACTGGGGGCTGGATAAGAAAGGAAAGGCAGTGCTCGGAGCAGCAGGGTCTGAACTTACCCCTGGAGCCCTTCTCCCCCCCAAAAAAAGGACTTTGTTGGCATTAAAGCTTTCAGGAGGCTCAGGGCTAAGGGGCCAGGTGAGGAGGATGCTGGGTGAGGATGTAAATGTGGCACTGCCTGACCGTTAAATGGCCCCAGGCTCCCTGAGACCTTGGCACTGGGGCTTGTCGGGCTGGTTTGGGCTGGACCTGTCCCAACCTGCCTGAAACTTTGGCTGCAACTGCCTGGCAACAAGGTGGCCGTTGCCAAATGGGTTTTTAGGGACTGAGTTTGCAGGGTTTTGTGTAGCTGTGAGGTGGTTGTCCCCATGGTCAGCCCAATGTTCTTCTTTCAGGAGCAGGCAGAGCTGCTGCAGGGTCAGAGCAGTCAGTGAGGAGCAGCTCTGGCAGGTGACAGAGGCAGCAGGAGGAATACAGGTAAAACTCAGGACACACAATATGGGTGTGCCATGAATTGCAGCTCTGAAGTAAGATGAAAGTATAAAGAGTGGTAGAAGATGCATAAAAACCATAGCCCCAAGTCAACCCTAAACTGAGGGTTTAGAAGAAACCATCAACCTCATCATCCTATTCCTCCAAGGGAAGGAGAAAAAAAACCATTTTAGAGAGCTGTGTTTTTTTCCCCCCTCAGGATGCTGATGAGTCACTGCAGCAGTGCACAGGGAGGAGGGAAAACTCATCACTAGAGGAAGGGGGGAGATGCTTTTGTCTACTCTGTTTTATTTTTGCTCCTGTTGCTGACAACCTTTAGTAGAAAGGGAGTGATTTGGAGACTAGTTGCTAACACTGCTGTAAGGGGATGAATGGTGAGTGATTGCTGTAGCTTGATTAGACTGAGGTGTTAATTAGACTACCACGAAGTTCTAATTCCCAAATCCTCATGCAAGCATCTCTCTGTGCCTGTGGCTTTCACAAGCAGCTTCTCTGTTGCCTGTTGTGACCAGGATGGGGCTGGGTGAGCTGCTGGTGGATGTTTTGACTCCCAGGATGGGGACAACTCAGAGCTTGAGTCCCTTGGGCTGCAGCAGCAGCTCTTGGCTCTTTCTTCTGCTAATATTAGGACTGGTTTGAGGAAGATGACGGCTCTGTGGAGCAGCTATTAATATCAGACAAAGCCTGGATGGAAGTCAAAAATAACAGCAACTGAGAAAACTACAAAGTGTGCAGCCAAACAGGAAGTCCAGGCGAGGCTTGGTGTTGTGAGAGATAAACAGTGGGAAGGAAAAGCTAAAGATGCAGGGGAGAAAAATACCAAGAGCTTTGGAGATAGCTTGAAAACAGGCCCTGGCTCCAAAACAGTGACATCAAATAAAGCTGATCGAATTCTCTGAGCAGATTGAAAGGAAATCCTGGTTTATTGGCCCAGACGTTTCCCGAGCTGGGTGGGGAAAAACTCCCCTCTGTCCCCAAGCTCCTCTGCTGCCTGCTCAGGGAGGGAGAGGGCTGGGGGCAGATGGGTGCTCTAACCCCCTCCCTGCCTTGGGAATGAGTCCCTGTTTCTGCCCCTCAGGTTTTTCCTTTCCCCAGAGCTGTTTGCTGCTGTCCCAGTGCAGGATTGTCCCTCAGAGCCCTGGTTTTCATCTTCTTCTGCAGCAGTTCTTGTGCTAATCCATGAGCAGAGCAGGGGCATGGCCTGTAGGAATCCATGAGCTTCAGAAAACCCAAGGAACTGGTTGGGAAACACAGGCCAGCAGCTCAGGGTCCTTGGTCGAGCAGGAAAAGGAAGAACAACACTCCAGCCTCTGGGCCTGATTCTCCATGGACACAAGGAAGGGGCTGTGAGCCCCCAGGGTGGTCTGCAGCATGAAGCAGGGAAGGAGCCTGGCAGGGGTGGTGTGAGAAGGGTGCCTGCAGGGTTAGGACACTTCAAGGACATTCAGCAGAGCTGCAAAGGCCAGAACTAAAAATACCCTGAGGTGTGGCAGCAGGATTTCCCTGACACTCTGAGCCCTGGCTGGGTATTTAAAATCCTTCTCTTGTTAATTTAACTTCCCTGTTGGCATAGAGGTGATGACTCTGAGTAAGAAGACAGGTATTAAAAAGGTGGTTTGGGTTTCTATTGCACCTTTTCAGCTCACAGACTCCCCAGAGGGACCTGGCCAGATTCAACAAGACCACGGGGGGCCAGGTCCTGCCCTTGGGTCACCACAACCCCCTGCACTGCTCCAGGCTGGGGCAGAGCAGCTGGAAATGGCTCAGTGGGGATGGAAATGTCTCAGTGGTGAAAGCCCTGGGGGGTTGGTCCCAGCCAGGGGAAGATGAGCCAGTGTGAGCCAAGGAGCCCCCCAGCATCCTGGCTGGGATCAGCACCAGTGGGACCAGCAGGAGCAGGGCAGGGGTTGTCCCCCTGGTTGTTTTGCCCCCACTATATTCTTTGCACAGAGGCCTTTGGTTCCTTCACAGCTTTGGCCCCTGCATAAATCCCTGGCCCAGAGCTCTGCTGACAGAAGCCTGTGGTCTCCACCTGCTCAGGAGCTGGAGGATGCACAGAGGGTCCCAGAACCTCTCACTAGACCAGAACAGGGAAGGTTTCTCCTAGATGGGGCTTTGTGCACCTCCAGGCTGCCTCTTTGCTGCTGTGTTACCAGGGAACTGCTTCTCCCCAATGCTTTTGTACCAGCAGATGGCAGAGGATGCCCACGGATGAGCTGAGGGTGTCTGCTGTCTCTCCAGCTTTGCTTTTGCACCTTTTTTAGAGTTCTGCCTCACAGCTGGATTATTTTTTAACAATATTCTAATTTCACACCCCCCTCTTTGGATTAAAAGCATCCTTAGGGTGTAAACAAGGAAGGGAAGCAGAGCAGGGCTTCAGTGGAGGGCATGGATCCTCCCTCCGTTGAGCTAAAAAATGACAGGGCAGCAAGTTTAAAATGAAAAAGGAAATATTTTATTCCCATATGATGTTATATTGCAACTGGGAGAGCAACACTGTGCAAAACAGCCTCTGCCTCCCCACAGTGTTTTTGTTTCCAGAAGCTCTGAATGTACAGCAGAGAACAGGCTCTGTGCACGCCCCAGTTCTTAACATTCACCCAACATACTTGAAGTTGGATCTGTTGAATTCCTTCAGATAACAGAGGACTTGACTTTTTTTTTACTGATACATGAGCATCAGGTGCCACGTAACCACCAGAGGCTGGATTTGCTGCCATGGGATGAAGCAGGGAGCTCAGTCTGGAGAGGACAGGGAGCAGCCTCACTCCAGACACCCGTTTTCTCCCCAAATGAGGCAGGAGATGTCTATGAAATGGTGTCTTCTATAACCTGCAGCAAGAGGTGGGCACCTTCCCCAGCACACCCAGGAAAAGGAGCCGTTAAGCCATTCAATCTCATCCTGAAACACCTTCCTGAAGGGCTTATCTCTCCTGCATGAATCTATCTCCAAAAAGAC